AGTAGTGACACAGTGGGAAGGGCTCCTGCTTCAGAGTGCCCCATATCCGGTGTGCCAGGAGGGAGGTGAGAGACCATCACTCTTGACTCACAGAGTTTAAGAGGAGGGAGATTAATTAGATTCACTAGTTTGACCTCACAGGCCATTAAAATGCATCCACTTAGGCTGATGCTGATAATTTGTATTTGGCATGAGCTTTTCTTCCATATGGTGTCCAGTTATGGTACGAAGCGGTTGAGAGACAAAGGGTCTATCACATGCCATGACAGATTGTTCCAGCAGTCATTCTTCCTATTAAAAATGTGTATGCTATTTCAAATCTGAATTTGTCAGGGTTCAGCTTCCAGAAGTTAGTTCTTATGAAGTTGTCTGCTTAATTGAAGAGTCCAGTGGGATCCTGTGTTTTTTGCCCTTGGAGATGCCTATATATTAATCAAGTTGACTCTCAATCTTCTTTTGATAAGCTAAATAGACTAAGCCCTTCAGATCTCTCACTGCAAGACGTTACCTCTAATTTTAAAAGCATTTAAAGTCCTTTTGTTTTGCATTGACCAGTTAAAAATGCTGAATCACAACCGTATTCAGTATCAGAATGTTCTTAGCTGTAGTACACACGTTTCATCCTGCACATCTCTGTCTCCACCTGTAAATATCCCCACAGATCTCCCTAGTGCCTTTTTGCACGTCTTGACAGTGGAAGCTCTTGACGAATGGTGGGTCCACTCCAACCCTCAGGCTTTCTGCTCTCCAGGATACGTTTCAGACTTCTGCTGGCAGGGCTGGCACTCCCTGCCTTAAGCAGCTTGTCTTTACCTTTGACTCTGTCAAAACGCACTGACTTCACCTCTCACCCATTGATTTTAGTACCGTTCCTTTTCTATTTCCGTGCAGATCATTGATAAAAATGTGGAGAGCCATCAGACTGAGCCCCAGCGCAGGCAGAACTGCCCCATTGCTCCATGCTCAGTGAAGGTTTCCCACCGACAGCCCTCTCTGAGATCTGTTACTTGGGAAGTTCTTAATCCATTTAAGATGTGCCTTACTGGTATTGTGTGGTACTGCCTTCTTCATCAGGATGACATGCAAAACTAAGTTAACTGTATTAGAAACCCTAAGTCTATTACATCCACTCAGTCACCTTTATCAAGTGACTTGTAATCCTTTTAAAGAATGAAATTAGTTCTGTTTGACAAGACTTACACAATGGTTTCAGTGGGTATTAGTACTATAGCTCTTGTTAATTTCTTATGAAGTGAATCCAGCGTCAGCTTTATTGCATCCATGTGTGAATGTGTGTGGCTGCCTGTGGCATTGTCTAACGGCACTTTACAGCATCTTTTGTGACCAAGACTGGTTGCGTGTACAAACCACAACATTTTTTTTTCCTTCTGTATTTATTTTGAGAAAGCTACAGTTGCAAATCTGTAAGTTTGTGTGTAGCCCCCAAACTGATATTTGAAAAGTGTAATAGGAAGGTTTGCATTTGGAGGGGAAGGGGGAACGGTGATGTCCAAACAAGATCAATAGCATTGATTCTGGAAAAGATTTTCGGAGTTGCCTACGTGCCTTAGTTCCGTTTTCTGAAACAGGGTAGACATAAGGAACTATTCAACAGAGTTGGTTTGGTTTTGTTTTTTGTTTTTTTTTTTTTTTTTGTTTTGTTTTGTTTTCTGAAAATTAAGTGTCAAATGCTTAAAACAAAGGGGCTCTGGGATTGGGGACAGGTGGTGTTCACAGAGGCTACCTCTAAGGAGGGAGACTAATTTTCCCTCTGGAGTCTGAAGCAAAATTGGTGGGGAGTTAGTGGAGGAAAAATCAGAGCACACACCCAAAAATGTACTATTTAGACCCCTGAAACTTCACATCGCACCTTAACCTCCTATGCAGTGGTGCTGTCCTTCCCATTGACAGCATCTTGCATCTGTCGCCCCTGTAAACACAGTGGTGCTGCGATGTCAACTGTTTCTGTGGACAAGCGGTTTCTGGTCGGCGCTGGATCTGTGCTCAGCCATGTCTTAGTGAGGTGGAGCAGCCACAAGCAAGGCAAAGTGCTAATGCCTTGGGATGGATCATCTGTCTGCACCCTGTCCCCACCTGCCTCCTGGGCCCATCATGGGGGACATGTGCTCTGCAGGGTCCCTCTGGGCACAGCCGCAACCTGCCCATCTCCAGCTGGACAGACTCCTGAATTGATGCTGCGTAGATTACAGAGGGTTTAGTCTGGCTTTTGGTCTCTCCCCTTGCTGGAAGAGCAAGTTGTGCAACACTAGGAGAGGAGACCATCTCTGTGCTTGTCACACACCGTGTTCCCTCTCCATCCCCCTCCAGCTGCTCCCGACTGCCTGGAATGAGACCAAATGATGCATCTGTTCCAATGTCGAAAGTGGTTCATGTTGCCATTAGCCACGTTCGGTCCCAAATTGAACCTGGCAAGCAGCTGACATGCTCAGAGCTAGTTTGCTTGCAGACATATGTGTTTTGATGGGAAATGCTCCTGCCTTTGACATACAATTCTTAGAAAAGGGAAAGAAGGTAATTCACCACCTAAATAAGAAAAAGGCTCAGTGTCCTGCGTGGCAGCCTGCCTTATCTCTTATACCCTTTTTTTTCTCTAAAATTATCAGGCTGCAAGGAGTTAAAAGATATTAGTTCTGTTAAAGCAATCATCTCCGCTCAACCTTACTGTAATTGAAGAGGAGGCTCTGCTGCCTTCTGCGTCTTCATTATGGCAGAGAATTTCTCACATTTACCTACTCCTTATTTGAAATTTGCAAATCTGGAATGTGTAGTTAAGCAGCGCTCTCCATTTCTTGCTATTTAACTTTCTTTAAAAATGTTGAAACTATTAAAAGATTTGAATATGTCATGGGAGAGCTCGCTTTTTTGCTTCCATTCCTGATGGCTTCTCTCTGCACCCTTCAAAATAAAAGAATAAAGCAGGATTAATTAATGATGCTAAAGCAGTGAGTCAGGACACCTTTATGCATTTAAGTTGAAGAGCTGTATGATGTGTGGTCTCAGTTCAGACACACAGGGAAGTGCTCGCTGCTTTTCTCTGGGTCTCTGAAGAAAGCTGTGCTTCTGGCCCCAGCTGCAGGCACATCCTGTGGCTCAAGCTGAGGTTGCAGAGGTAGCCAGATGGGATATTAGCCCTACCCCTCTATCATGTGCCACTACCTACAGAAAACCACCTGCTCCCTCCAAGGGTGGATTTTTTTCCTGTCTGTCCGTCTTTCACAGCAATCTGTTGGGGCAGTATTTACTTGCATATACCCACCCTAGTACTCGTCCCTGCTAGGCTCCTGACCACTTTCCTTCTTGGTCCATCACCAGCAAGCGATGGGGTTAGAAAAACAGATTTGATAGCTTGAAGTCCACTGATTCAAATTCAGAGTATTGTGGTATGACCAAGAGGGAAAAATGACCCTTTGGCAGATCTTTCCACCAAAACAGACCTTTTATCTGCATTCCAGTGCTGCCCATCAAGGACAGTTAGCAGAGAAATGCTGTGAAAGCCGGTACAGAAGTGGGAGCCTGAACTGCAGTTGGATTCAGGTGGAAATTGGTGTTACACAGCCATGACTTTATCAAAGTACTTACAATCAAACAAGTTTTTCTGCAGTTAGTTGAACATCAGCACATCTATGAAACCACATATCCTGGGACTTCAGCTGGCGTCAGTTGTTTTGGGCCAGTCTCATCACTTTGGCTGGCAGTCTGGTCTCATCCTACAGTTTCTCAGACTGTGAGTTTATGATGTCTCTTAAAGTGAGTTCATGAAATATCTGTCACTGCACAATGTAGCATGCATGAAACTGCAAAAAATCACATCTTTTCTTGGGGTGCGAGTTGTGTGCATTGCTCAGAGTCCCGCTTTGGCTAAACTGGCAGAGTTAAGTTTAAAAATCTGCAAGCGGCGTAGGAAATATTGTGTTCTGCAAAAAGCGCTCATTTGTTTTCCATCCAGGATGTTTGGTCTCAGAGAGGATGTGGTGCAGCATGGGGGAAGTGGGATGCTCTGCCATTGAAATGAGCGTCTGGGCAGGAGTTATGATTCCTGGCACAGCCACAGGGCTCTGTGGGCATACAGGACTTCAGCCACTGTCCAGATTTCCTCTATATAATGGGAATATTAGGGAATGGGAACATACCCTTAGCAGGTAGAGATGTGATCAGACTGGAACAAGGGATATATAGTCACTTGGAGTAAGTAATTTTAGAGACATCAGTGAAAAAACACTTTGTGAACATTCCTTCTAAGTTATACTTCCCCAAAGTACATATGTTTGAATACTGTCTTTGCTGGGCTGGCAACCAGTGTTTATTTTCTCAGCATGCTAACATCACCCAGTCAAAGATCCTTATTTGCAAGACACAGGCAAATGATCTTGTGATCTTTTCCAAGACCACCTGGTTCGTCAGGCAAGATGTTCAAGGCTTTGTAGGAAGCCCATGTGAGCAGTAATGTGGAGAGACCCTTGGATTATGGCTGCAATTCTCAGACGAGGTCTGCAGTGTTGTGTTACCATCAGTGTGCTGCTGTGCACCCTTAGCTACCGTACAGGTGGGTGATACGAGTCCGCTCTGGGTCTCAGGTTCTGGTGACTTTGCTTGAGTCCGAGGTGTAGCAGGTGGGTGAGCAAGGGTGAGGAGAACTGTATTACAAGTCCTCATTTTCACAAATCGCTTTTGGACACAGTCTGTGGGTGGAGGTTTCATTTCTAAATCTTTTGCCAACAGAGACAAGCTGCAAATCAGGAGCCATCATCTGAGATCTGGTTTCAGGGCTGCCATGTCAGTGAAAAGACAGGCACTGGTGAACATCTCAGTTTTGCAGTCAGTGTTGGCAGTTCAGCCATTGTGTTCCTGGGGCTGGGGCATTCCCCTTTGGTTCCCTGTAGTGACTGTTCACTCCTAATTAATTAAGCAGCAAAAAAATTAATGGAAATTAATTGGGATTAATTTCTCCATTCATATGTTGGAAACTATTGTCTCCTCAGCTTTCTCCTGTGCCTCTGGCGAGTACCTGGAGATGAAGAACCAGGTGTGCAGCAAATGTGCAGAGGGGACCTACTCACTGGGCAGTGGGATCAAGTTTGACGAGTGGGATGAGCTGCCGGCAGGATTCTCCAACGTGGCGACTTTCATGGACACGGCGGTTGGCTCGGCTGAGAATAAAGCCGACAGCTGTAACAAGTAAGAAGTTCTGTTTGCATCTGAGTTATGCATGCATGGGAGAACCTGAGACAGCTCATCAGCACAAAGCCAGCTTAACCATTTATCTAAGCTCTCCAGAGGGTGAGCAACCCTAGTAATGGCAAACAACAGTGTCTGGGAAGTGAAATTTTTAGCCATCTCTTTGCTGTCGTCATTGTCTCCTCGGGCTCAGCAGCAGCTACTGAGTCTAAGACCAGCCTGGAGCTGCTCTTATTTGTAGCTGGAAAGCTCCAGGATCGTGGCATAGTAACTGTGGCTAAAAGGTACTTTTACAGCCTATTGAGAGACCCGTGGTGGTTGCAGAAGGCTGTTTCTGAGTATAATTGAAAGTGTGTTCAACCTGTGGATACTAAACATTTCCTGTGTAGTCTGGGTCCTAAATTTCTAGTATTGCATCTTTTCCCATGCACAGTTTTAATGCAAAGTATTATATTTACATGAAAAGTAGTTGGGAATCCACTAATAAAGTTACAAATTTGCTATTCATGGCAGTTAGCTCTTGTGGGATTCTGGGTTCTTTATTAAGTAACATGTTTTTGTGTAATAGCGTAAGAAAAGTCTCCTCAGTGTCTGTGATCTCAGCTGGGCCTTGTTTTGTTTATGTTCATCAGCTCTTCGTGGACGCCTCGAGGGAATTACATAGAGTCAAACAGGGATGACTGTACGGTTTCTCTCATCTACGCTGTGCACCTGAAGAAATCCGGTTCTGTCTTCTTCGAATACCAGTATATTGACAACAACATCTTCTTTGAATTTTTTGTAAGGCCTTTTATATGACAAATTCAACCTTCTATTGTAAGAATTCAATCCAGATAAAGACCATCAGAAACAGCTTTTTCCTTCCTTTACATTCCCCATATGTCCGTAACTTATTACTGTTCAACAAGATTAAAAAAAATATTTTTTTCTGCCTTTTTGGAATTCATTTCAGCTTCAAAACTCAGGCTAAACTGATCCTGTCTACCATGTGCTGGGATTTTTCCATTAGAGGTTGTGACTGCCCCTGTTAGTCCAGCATTTTCCAAGGCAAATCTTGGTGGTAGGTGCTTCAGGGTGTTTGACTTGAGATGCCTTTGAAGGGACGTGAAGTTTAAAAAAAACTTCTTCCAAGGCAGGCATCCAGAACCTGAGGTGCTCCAAGGCATTAATATGTGGAAATCTTTACCTGTAGTTTTAGGTCAATTTGGGTCATAGCAATTGAAATGAAAAGAAAAGCAGGAGCAAAGACAAAAGGCTGATCCTTCCCCCAAAAAAAAAGAAGAAAAAAAAGCCAGAAACAACAGCTCTTCAAAGAGATTTAGGAGTAAAAATTCAGGTGAATTTCTGTAGGAATGAGGCTCTGAGGACATGTCCAGACTGTGAAATGGAGGGGCTGGGGGTCATTAGCTCTGAAATTGAGCAGCCTGATTGGGCTTGCACCATGTCATACCCAAATTACTGAAACAATCTGATCAGCGGGGACCCAAATGGGAAGGACAGCCCTGCTCTGCCCACGTGGATGGGCTGGTTGGGGTCCAGGGAGCCATAGAGTTCTCATCACCAGGCTCCACAGCGTAGTGCAGATGCTCCGTGTCACTGAGATGCTTTGGAAGTTTCCACCAACACCTGCATTGCTTTCTTTGGTATGTTATACCTGCCATTTGAGACAGAAAAAAACTCATGGGAGGGCATCTCAGAGCTGGAGATGACTGGAAATTTTCAGTCTCCTCTGTTACTGCCCCTCTCCCTGTCTGGTGAGTTCTGTTTTTCATCCAAAAAACACAGCTCATGGTATCTCACGGGAGTGCAAAGCCTTAGCTGGTGTTGGTTAATGTTTCTTGAAGCTCGGAGAAAAGTGCAAAGTATCCTTGTCCTTAGTAAAGATGAGAAGGAAGACAAAAATTACCTGCTGGAGGCACCCTTGTGCTGCTACATCAGTGCAATCTGTTGCAATTTGATAACAGACCATGCAGGCAACATGATTTAGCCATTTCACTTTAATGTGAGACTATCCTGCCTTCTTCAGATGAGTGTACCAGGATGATGAATCCTAGCTCCAGTTGCTTGCTTGTCTGACTGATCTGCTCCTGCAGTGGAGCAAATATCTTGTTTCTATGAGAATTAGCTTTGAAAATGGGTTTTTCAATGTTACTTTTATCCATATCCTGCTCATTCACCTCCTTAAATTTATCCTTGCCTGTTCAAGAAGCAGTGAGCGGTGCAGTCCTTTATAAAAATGCCCATGTAAGTAATTCCTAGTCAGCCTCAGTATTTCAGGGAAACCATATTCAACACTCCTCTAAAAGTCCATTTTTTTCCTCCAGCACGTCTTTGTGTTTAAATCTATTTAAGAATGACACTTTAGCTCTGGACAGTGGCATTTCAGTGACAGTGGCTTGCAGGTTGCTGGGAAATGATGAAGTTTTTGGGCTCTCCAGCTACAGGTGGCTACACTGTTGGTCTGAGGATAAAGAAAGAGATGTCCTCAAATGTGGGAAGTAAGCGTGGATCCTTCTTGTTAGATACTCTGTGCTTCTGCAGCCTGCCCTTCCCAGACTCTTTTTACATATAGAAGCCCTTTACACCTTGCAAGAAGAGACTATATATGCTTATCTCCATTTGCAGATGGGAACTGAGGTGTAAAGGTGCTGTAGCTCAGATTGTGCAGGATAATTAGGGATCTACCTTGTACTTAGGTGCTTCTGCACACCTCTTTTCCTCAGTGCTGTTAATCTAGGTGAGAGTTAAGTGCACAGATGCTTTTGGGGGATGTAGGGTTATGTGACTTATTTCAGACTTGATTGGGAGCAACTTTGAGGAGGAAGCTTAACCCCAGGTTTTCTGAAACTGTTGCACTGGCCTTTCTCCCTGGTGGAATGAAAGTTGAGTAGTTGAACTCATACCTCAAAGGGACTTGATACTTTTCCTTCAGAAAAAACTGTTAAGAGAAGAAAGAAGTGGACTGCTGTCAGGCCATACATGTGCTGCAAGGAACGGCTGCTAAGCTGGGCTGAGCGTGGGTGAAGGACGATCATCCTCACACCTCTGCGAGGGCAGGCTCTCCATGGCAGGTTGCCTCTCCCTTGATAACATTATGCTCATCCCTAGTGAGGTCTGGTGGCAGGGAGCCAAAAACACAGCAGATATTTGCTGCAGAGAAAGCAGTTTGTCTTCTAGCATTGGCCTGCCCACTCCTACCTCCCCTCTGACTTAGAAGCCCATGGCTTATGGATTTTTTTTGAATTGGGTCTTGGTGGACTCAAGAGAAGGAGGCAGCCAAGACAAGATGCTGAACATTTAAATCTGACCAGATAGAAAGAGGATGAGGGTGATATCTTCTCCTCCTGCTCTTTTTTCCATTTGCATCAGAGGTGGTCCTTGGAGGCACTGTTAAGATGCTGCAATGTTTTGAAAGTTGGGGTTTTTTTGACACAAATAAGTCAGCTGCTGTCCTAAATATGTAGACAAGAACAAAGCTGAGTCTTATAATTCCTTGCTAGCAGTCATTATGCTGACAGAAAGTTGCATCTGAGTGTGGTCACTGATCTCGTGTTTCTAATTAACAGATTCAAAATGACCAGTGCAAAGAGATGGAGTCCACGGCAGACAAGTGGGTGAAGCTAACAGACAACGGGGAATGGGGCTCTCATTCTGTAAGTCTGCAAAAAATTCCTTAATGAAGCTTTTTTCCTTTTAGAAGGTTTGTGATTTCTTCTGAGCAGAGAGCAAACAAGGGCCGGATCCTGTGAATGTACCTGAAGAAGCACAGCTTGCCAAGAACGGTGGGCAAAGCCACCGAGAACTCTAAGGGGCTGATCCCAAAGCAAAAGATACAGATGCAAGACTTTGTATTGATTTCTCTGGGCTTTGAATCAAGTGCTTTATGAGGTTAAATAAATTTATGCAAATCCGCATGCCAGTCACTCTGTATGGTTGTAATTGAAATCTTCTGTGACAGTTGTTTGCTCATGAGAGCACGAGATCATTCCCCATTGCTCAGGAGAGTGACAGGAGCGGTGCATGTATGTGGAAGCAGGCAGGATGGGCGTTTTATTCTCAAATGTGTGCTGAGGAGCTGGACTGCATCCAGCCTGTGCTCCGTGGTGACTGACCCAGCTGAAAAGCAAGGGGCAGCACTGGGGTGGCTCCTGCAGCACTGATATGAACATGCCCATGTTGGGAGCAGCAGCCCTTTGGCTGGCCTGTGACTTGGCTGGCTGAGTTTGTTGGTGCACAGACCATGTGTAGACCAACTCAATAGCTCATGCTGGTGCCTGGTTTCCATTGTACCATTGTACCCTAATTCCCAGAGCCATACTAGCGAAGGCCTAGCATAGGTGACATTATGCCAAAAGAAAAAGGTTTTTAATTGGCATAGATCACAGAATCATAGACTGGTTTGGGTTGGAAGGGACCTAAAAGACCATCTAGTTCCAAACCCCCTGCCATGGGCAAGGACACCTCCCACTAGCCCAGGTTGCTCAAAGCCTCATCCAGTCTGGCCTTGAACACCTCCAGGGATGGGGCATCCACAGCTTCTCTGGGCAACCTGTGCCACTGCCTCACCACCTTCACAGGAAAAATAGCAGCCCACTCTCTGTTTTCCATGTCTGCCTATCCTTCTGGAGGAGAAACTGCATTCCCAAGGCAGCTCTGGTTGGCAGTGCCTGTTGGCTCATGTGCAAGCCCTGTGTGAGTCGCACTGGGAGACAGGAGAACTGGGTGAGAAGGGGTGAGTGGCATGGGCTGAGAGGTAGATCCAAGGGTCAGGACATCGACTCGGGTGAGTTGAGAGATGTAGACAGTGTCTGCACAGGAGAGGGTGGCATCTGAACTCATTGTTCGGGATGTGCAAGTGTCTCCCCTGACTAACAAGGTTGCTGGGATGCCTGGCTGAATGTGCGAGCTAGGTGAGATGACTGTTCTGGCTCTCCTCGAGCCTTTTGTCTGCATTGCAAATCCTGTCATGGCAGCTTCTTTGACCCTGGTTTTCCACCTGCTGCAGCCTCTGCTTTCAGCATACTAGTCCTGCTGCACTGGAGCTGATGTTGGGTATCTCTACCCTAAACAGCATGATGTTTAATTCAATATCATCCCAGTCTGCTTGATACCTACCCCCCTGGATAGCAGGTGTTTGGGGAGTGGGAGATACACTATGCTGTATCTCCACTTTGCTGAGTGTTTGTACTCTATCCTGGGTTAACAAAAACTGTGATCCATCCAGGCCTGTACAGCACTGCTGTAAATCTCGTTATCCTGGACCCTTATGCTGGTAGAGTTTATCCCTCTTCATACCTTCAGGCCAGTATCACTGTGTTGGTAGTAGGCATGTTGTACTGGGCTAGTAAATGGTACAGCTTTGCAGACAGGCAGGGTATTGGTAAACCTGCTGCTTTAGTAAGTAGAGTGACACTGTGGTTACACAGGTGAGTTGAAGGCAGCAGGCATCAACAGTGCTGCTGAAAGAAGTGGTCCTGCCTTCCTCTTCCTCCTCCTAACCCCAGCCATGGTGCCACCACCCTTCCCATGCCAGGACAGGAGTCGTGCAGCCATTTGCTGTGAAGACAAGTAGGTCAGAGCAGTTGGAAACTGGGTTGTTTTCTGCATCTTATCTGCTGTTCAGGGTCAGAAATGAGCGGGAGGGATGGGACTGCTGCTGGGGGCGTTCATGGTTTGTGCCTGGCTTACTGATCATGATGCTGTGGTATTAGATGCAGGCAGAGCTTGATTTTTAAAGGCTATAAACAAAATTCACTTCTGAGCCTTGATTTTTGACCTCTGGGTTGTATTGGGTTTCTCTATAAAAGTGTGTCTCAAGGCTTTAAAAACAAACTGATTGACTGTATCTGAACATAGAGGTAGAGATAAAAGCTCCTGAGTGTAGCTGGATAAAGGCAGGAACAGCTTTTTCCCAGTTCTGCCTACAACAAGGTCAGAAACAGCTCTTGGTATTTTTCCATAGAACTGGGGTGTTGAGAAGCCTTTTTATAAAGCACGCTTAGGCACTCCTCAGAGATGTCTCTACAGCATCTGCCTGGCTGTCTTCTCATTACTTCTTGACTCACTAAGCAGCTTAGGAAAAGCCAGGATTGCTGCTAGGATGCAAGAAATCTGAGTAATGGAAGTAAGAAATAAAACATTTTTTGGTGAGGGGATGTCTGCTAATGGTCATGCATATTATTGCAGGTAACTCTGAAATCAGGGAGCAATATATTATACTGGAGAACAACAGGGATTCTCATGGGGTCCAAAGTAGTAAAACCAGTTCTGGTGAAAAACATCACAATTGAAGGTAAGTGATATTTGCCTTTTAGGTCTTATCTCACTCTTTCGTCACAGTGTTTGCCAAGTGCCATTTCTACTGGTGTGCCGACAGCACTGAAGTGGCTTTTCTTAAGCCACTTGTCCCCTGTCTTCTCCTCTAAATTGTGGAAACAGAACAGCAAAAGTTCCCACTGTCAGGGAAAGGGTGAAAAATTAATTTAGCTGGTAAATGATGCCGTCTACTGGAGAATACTGGCTTAGCAAATAAAAAGAGAGAAGAAGGAACAAACAGATTTTCTTTAATGCAGTATCAAAAGACCATGCTTATTGGTAAGCCTCTCAACAGTCATAAATGGATGTATATATCATAGCACTGACAGTTAAATTACTACTTAAGTAATTTAATTAATCTGGGATTGCTCTTTTGGTCCTGTTCTAAGTGTACTAAAACTTGGAGTGTCATACAAGGTTTTTACATGGGTCAGACTTACAGTGGGGAGCAAAAATTAAGGACCTAAATCATGAGTCAGAAAGCCAAAGCGTTTAAAGTGAATGGTGAAAATCTGTGATTTTTAAGCTGTGTTACCCAGCTGGCTTGCTTTCCCCCATGAGCAGGTGAGCAGTAGTTACGGAACATACCTCTGTATATTTCAGTGCTTTACCTGTAATTTACCTTACAGGAGTTGCATATACGTCTGAATGCTTCGCGTGCAAGCCTGGTACCTTCAGTGACAAACCAGGTTCATCTGGGTGCCAGGTGTGTCCAAGAAATACTTATTCTGAGAAAGGAGCTAAAGAGTGCACCAAGTGTAAAGAAGAAATGTATTATGCAGGTACAGAAGTCAAATGGGATAAGCAAAACTAAGAGAGTCTGAGTACGTAAGGTCATAAACTATTTCTGTGTGCAGATGTGAAAATGATTTTATCCAACAATGAAGTTTAGTCTTCAGCTGATCTGCCAAGGGGAAACGAAGATGGGGCTTCCCAAAAGCTGCAGAGGGCGCATATAGAGATAACTGGCCATACTCGATCTTGGCTAAGGCCACCTATGAAGGGATGGAGATCTTTGTGACCTCGAAGGGAACAGCTCTTCGGAAGGATAATAACAGTCATGCTGTGCCCTCTCGTGGTAATTTGTGTTATCGGTTGGCAGTGACATCAATTGGCTTCATCACTGCCTTCAGACTTGTCATGTTTCTAGGAACAGAAATTCTCTCCTTTCCAAATTATCTGCTGGCCTGTCCCTTCCTCCTGTGTGGTTGGAAGATGTGGTGATCTGGTTGCAAACGCTGGTCTTCAGCTGGTCTCCATTCCCAGCTGTGGTTAGCTGGTGATCATCAAATAACATGGGCACAATCCATTCTTCGTGGTCAAAATGTCTTCAGCTTTCTTCTTTGTAGTTGTTTTATAGGAAAGATTTTGAAGAATCAGTTACTGACCATAGATTATAGCAAATGCTTGGGGACCTGTGCATGTGCTCATGATGGGAATGGAAATTGTGCAAAAATATCTGATGAGAGGAAAAATTGGGCCAGTGTTGTAAGGAATTTTCTAATGGATTTTTGATCCTTATCAAGTGAGAACATATTCCCGTGCTTGGCAAACTACACAATTTGCTGCTTGAAGGTGAAGGGGTAGAATGAGGGTTTGGGTGACTCCCTGGTTATACTGAATCAGTGAATTTCAGTGTGACAGTGCAAGCATAGCTGGTATTTTCCATGTTCCCCCCCTTCAGTTCGGGGGAAGGTTCGTGTAGACTCCATTAAGAGTTTTATTTTTCATTCTTATTTTGTGTTTTTCTGCTAACTCACTTTAGTGTCCAGATTTTAAGCTTGTTACGGTCGTTTCCAGGGACCATTTAATAGTTCAACATCCCATTCCTCACCCTTTCTTTTCAGATGAGGGATCCAGTGCGTGTATAGAGCGTCCTCCATGCACAAACAAAGACTTTTTCCAGATCCATACCCCGTGTGATAAGGAAGGAAAAGTAAGTAGAAGGCATGATATTTTTTTAAGATCATTGAGCTTACTGTGATTTCTTGATTTGAAAACAAGGTAGGGTTTCTAGGAATCTCTTTCCCAACGCCTTTCCCAATTTTGCTACCAGAACTGAGTCTCTCAGAGGCTTTGGGCTTGTCCTTTAGCTACTTTCTCTCCAGCATTAGTCCATCTGTAAGAATCTGCCTGTCATGGGTCTGCTTAAGGGATCTGTTGTTGTGAAATGCTAAGCTCTTTGCACTTGTGATTAGTCTGACTGGGTCACCGGTGCTGCCTCCATGCTCTTAAAAAAAAAGGGTTGGAGCACAGGCTGAAGTTTTGTCCCAAAATAAACCCTATTGTTTAGATGTTAACAGTCTTTCCTGGCATACTTTTAGCTTATGACAACTTGCCCTGTCACAGCAATGCCCAGGCACAATTCAGGTGCTGCCATGGCACAGGAGCATGACCACACCTATTGCAGATGGAAGAGCATTTGGCTGCATAGGTATGATGTGTGTCGTGTCCCTTGGTTTTAGCGTCAACGAAGAGCCTGTGATCTGTTGAAATAATGGTGTGTATATATATATATATATGTAGCCTGGGAGTATTCGTGTGCAGCAGCAGAGCTTAGCTGCTAATAATGTGCTTGCCTTGTGGGATGTCTTGGAACACCTGGCCCCAGTAGATTGTTTCACCCAGAGACCTTAGATCCACTGGATCTGACATAGGGGGACCTGCTGATGGAGCAGCCTGACTTTGGAGGTCTCTTGCCCTTTGTCCCAGCAGTCACACAGGGATTTTCGTGGGATATGGAGAAGAAACTTGTATTTACTGGGAAATGGAGCCCACAGAGGTGTGGACAGATGGTCAGGCCTGTTTTGTCTCTTTTCTTCCCTTTCCCATCTCTTAGATCTGGATGGAATGGCAAGCAGTCAAAATTCATAGCACCTGTGGGTTGTTGGCCTAATATTTGCTGGCAGAATGGAGTATTTTGGAGTCTCCCAGTCAGCCAGTTCCAAAACGCAGCTGAGAGTTTGTGTGCTTTGATAATGAAGCGTCAGTGCATTTGGCCTCAGAGCTGGCAGGCTCTGCAACCTGGTCTTGACTCACTGATTCTTGCTCTGTTAACTTTCCGTAATGACTCGAGGAATTAGCAGCAGTGTTCTCTGCTACACTCCCAGGTACTGCTTTAATTGCAGCCTCCTGCTGATCACCCTGTCACTGCTCTGTGCAATTCAAGGCTCCCTGGCATCAAATAAGCTCCCACCGTTGACCCTCTTCCTGCCTCCTCAATGGCTTTTCCCTTCCCTGATGGACATCTTCAGAATACAAAGTGGAACTTTCTGCAGACACCCTTCGTCTTCCAATTGGAACAACACATGTCTTAGTCACACCGATGCTGGCTGGGTTTTCAGGACAGCTTTCACTGCTCAGTGCTCTGCACCTCTGGAAATCGGTCCGGGTTTGCCGTACTCCCCAGCCATCTCTCCAGGTGGTGCAGCGCAATGCCAGGGCCTGACCCTGCAGCCCGTCTTCAGCTGAATGGTGGCTGTAAAGCACCAGCCTAAAGGCCTGTTGATCCACGGCTTACTAACATCAGCCAGGTTTTTCACTGAACTTTGGATTGTTGTCTCCCTCTCGCTGTCCCCACTCCATGTGTAGAAGAGGCCTCAGTAGACTGAGGCACTTGACTCCTGTTGACTTTTCTCATATCATCTACTGCTTTAAAAATCCCCGGCTGATTGCGTCAGCCCCGGTCTTAGAAACCCTCACTCAAAAACCCTCACAGACAGTGGCTGGGGACACTGTCTGACCTTTTCTCTCTGCTCAGATGCAGAAGGGTTGCTTTAGTGTGTACAGCATGCCTGGGCTCCGGGCAGCCACACCGGTACTCTGCCAGCTCCTAAGCCTTTTTATTTTAAGTGCTGTGCACCCTGGTGCTGCTGAAGCATTTCTGGAGCAATACTTCAGAAAATCTTCTGAGTTTTCAGGAGAAGCAAGGGCAGGCTGATCCATAAGAGGCTCTGACAGCAGGAGCAGTCCCACAGTACCTGACAAAAGTGAGCAAAGCAGACCCAGTGAACAACATCAGTGGTTGGGTTCAGACAAGTTTGCCAGACAAGTCCATAGTGACGTGGCCAGACCAATGTCAAGCTGGAACGTCAAGTGCATGTGTCAGTCAAGGTGTGGGTCAACCAGGGTACGTGACCTGGCACAGCCATGGCGGCAGCACAGCTCAGGCAGGGACAAAGGGTGAGAACCTCAGCTTCATTGCAGCTCCCCAGAGCTGAGGCCTGAGCCTGCTCTGAGGCTTCTTCCAGCTTTTTTTTTTCCAAACAGGTTCAAAGATGGTCACTACTGCTTGAACAGCTGTGTGTTATCAGAGGGCACAACCAGCAAAATGCCCAGGATGGCAGGGGAATGTGCTCAGGGCCCTGAACCAATCCATAAGGTGAAATCTCCCCTGTCAACCTCTGTACCCGTGCCTCTGGCCTCAAGGATCTCTGCACTGCTGGGACCAAGGGGTGGAAGTACCCAGAGAAGGAGCTGTGGCCAGGTTAAAGTCTTGCCAGTTGGGCTTCTCAGCTCTGGAACTCAAATAGTTTTTTGTCTTGAGACATTAAACCCTTTCAGAGATAGACCCAAAGACAGATGACATTTGAAACCCAGCACCACAGGTGATGCATCTCACCGAAGCCTTTTCCTGATGTCAGAAAACTTGTGTCTCATCAAAGAGAGGTGATGTCAGAGAGGTGATACCATTGGATATGGTAACACCAAGGAATGACTCACGTTAGTGTTCACAGACTGCTCCTTACGTGATGTGGAGGGACTGGAGAGGGGCTGGGAGAGTTCCTGTGTGGTTTTGACATTTGCTCAGTAGGTGAAAATGGCTGGAGAGAAAATTAGAACTTTTCAAAGAACAGGCCAGTGTGGAGAAAATGCAGAACTTGTGATGTTCTCTGCTAACAGATGCCTTCCTGATAAAGGAATTTTATAATGCAGAAATTATATTTTGGGTTGCTATGGTTAAAATGCAGGGATTGCTTATGCAGTTTTTAGAATTATTTGTCTGGCATTCCTCAGAAACATTTTCGTGGGAAAATCTGCTAGATAAATGGGAATAAATAGTAGTAATTGTTTTAAGCTTCACATTTTTGATTTGATCGTAAGGCCTGCAATCTTGGAATTGCCTGTAAACCCAGTCACTTCTGTTTTCCTTTGCCCTTCCCTTTATTGTCCCGGATGTGCAAGGTCTGGTTGTGGCCTGAAACCTTGGGAATACTCTGATTTCATTAAAAGGGGGACCTTATCTGCCACATCTAGTCCTAAAGCTTCCTAACACACCATGTGAGCTCAGTGTCTTCTTCCAGACTCAGATCATGTACAAATGGATAGAACCCAAGATCTGCAGAGAAGACCTCCCCGATGCATTGACCCTACCTCCTTCTGGAGAGAGGAAGGATTGTCCACCCTGCAATCCTGGCTTTTACAACAACGCCTCATCTTCCTGTACTCCTTGCCCACCAGGCACATTTTCGGATGGGACACAGGGTAAGAGTACGTAAAAAAATAGCTTGTGTCCCCAAAAACAATTGTCTGCTTGCATGTGATTTAGTTTAATGACACATCATCATAAGCCAGAGTTTATTTTGCATAAAATACTTACTGAATCTGTTTTCTTTCTGAAGTCCTTTGTTATTGGGGATTGCTCCTCTAAATTGACCTGCTGTGTTCTGGATCCATTTCTTGGCTGATATAAACATCCTGAGAGTTATTTTAAGGGATTCTGAGAAGGGAATCAGAACTTTTACAGTCAGTAATTCCTCCTCACCCATTCTCCTGTCCATGCCAAGTTCTTCTGTGTGAAAATCTCATTTTAAGCACTGTCAAATGAGTACCCTGCCAACATTGTCTAGCCTAAAATCTGGCTTGTTGATTCTGAGGTGTGTTGGCCTGGTGGTCACCTACAGCATTTTGTGGGAACTCATGTTTACCAGTATGGTCAAACCTCCAGCTGAAGCCATTAAAAAGGAAGTGTGGCTTGGGGGCTTAGTTGCAGATCACTTACCACAAGGTTATGATCCACAATTTATAAAGTGCTGGTCTTGTTTCCACTCTTCTGGTCCTGATGAGTCTTTGACTGTCAAATTATAAAGAAATAAATTATTTCATTTGCTCATTACTTGCCCCCGAGAGTAAAAAAGTAATACCTATGTTCTTTAAAACACTGTTTGAGATGTGCTTTGGCCATGTGATTTCCTCTTCTTGCCCTCTCACCCTGTAGAGTGCAAAGCCTGCCCTGCTGGGACTGAACCAGCTCTTGGGTTTGAGTACAAGTGGTGGAACATCCTGCCAGGCAACATGAAAACGTCTTGCTTTAATGTCGGCAATTCAAAATGCGATGGGATGAACGGTGAGCCAAACTCCCTGTGTTGTTATGTGCCTGACTTTCTCCTGTGCCAATCACCATTGTAGTGGAGCACCCATCAAAATGAGAACACTCTTTGCTGTGTGAGTCAGAACGTAGTTTCCTCCCTTGTCTTTAATTGCACCAGGTTTGAAATTTCCTGTAGGAAGCAATGTGACAATATCACAAAGAAGAAATAAAAAATCTCTGGTATACCAGAAGAGGGCAGGAGCTCCAGCCTGTGTGAAGTCCCCTCAGCTATGGACTTATGCCACCATAGATGTTGATGCATATGAATATCCCCGTTGAAAAAAACCACAACTATTTGACTTTTCTTTAGTTTATCTCCTTTCATGTTTTGTGATAACTATGCCCATCAAGGTCAAACATAATTTTTTTGGAAAACTTAATTAAAGTCTGTGATCTTTGTTCATTTAGCACTCAGAGCTTTCTCTCTGCACATGTGCTGAGATTGCAGCAGAGAGCAGTCACAGCTCACCAGTGGAAATGGTCCTGTTTGGGACTTCTCCCCTTCTCCCACCTCCAGCCTTCTCTGAGAGATTTTCCTCAGCCTATCTGTACTGTCAGGCTGACACAACTCTGGCTTTGACTTATATGGGTTGAGCAGAGGGGCACTGAAGTATATGCTTAAAGTTTCATACATAGATTCATTGATTCATCTGTTTTAAGGCTGGAAGAGACCAGATGGATCATCCCCCTTGAGCTGCACAGCACAGGTCAGGGAATTTCAATTACTTTGCTGATTTCAAGGTGTCATTTGCCTATAAAATCAGCAATTCATACAATTACTAAAATTTTTCATTCAAAAGCATTATTATACTCCTCTATAGTTTATAACAGACATCTTTAAAATGTACTGAAGTACTGAATTGCTTAAAAAAGTGTGGTAACAGATTTTGGTTTTTTTTTTTTTGCCACATGACTGAGAAACCATCCATTTATTGAATTTTTTTGTTCTTTTTTTGTCCTGTGAAGGTTGGGAGGTGGCTGGTGATCACATCCAGAGTGGAGCAGGAGGCTCTGACAATGACTATCTTATCTTGAACCTGCACATCCCCGGATTTAAGTAAGGAACAGGATTTCTTTCATCTATTTCTCTTTTATCTCTGCCTCTTACACCTATTTCACATTATCACTGGAATGAAGAGAGTTTTCCTTTCTGAAGTGCAATGATGTCATGAATGAGAGACAAGGGGAAACCTGGATTTTATTCCTGTGTCCCCACTCAGCCCATTGCAGTAAGCGATTCTGTAACAGCGATTAAAGTAAAAGAGAAGCAAGAAACATATGCATGGAAAAGCTTGGTGTGTCCCAGTTTACCATTTAGTACTTTGCAGGGGAGTGTCCTGAATACTTCAGGTTTGCATGAAACTCCTGAGCGCATCTCCCACCAGTGGAGGGTGGATGCGATTAAATCAGTGTAAATCACTTAAGCATTAATTAATTGTAATTAATTAATTATTAATAAAGTATGCATTTAAGTGGTAAGATTCCCTACCAATACAGTCAAATTTGGGTGTTGGTTATAGGGAGGGAACTGTACCGTGAAGAAGTAAGACAATAAATAATCCTGCTGCGTCCAATACCCAGTGCAGAGCTGATGTGCAAACCTGGCCTCTGCAGTTCTGCAAGGGCAGGTTTTATGTGACAGGACTTTGATGGTTTCCCCGCTGTACAAAAAGCAATTTGAAAGATTGACTGCTGCCTGTCAGGAGAGCACCTTGTAAATGTTTCTTTCCTTCTCTGTTAAACAGACCTCCAACATCGGTGACAGGAGCAACTGGGTCCGAACTAGGACGGATTACTTTTGTTTTTGAGACCATCTGTTCAGCAGATTGTGTGCTGTACTTTATGGCGGTAAGAGAGACCTCTCTCTCCATGACTGAAGATGGAGCCTGATATTCCACGTGTCACTTTAATACCTCTACATAGACGTGATTAGTTGCACTTGGCTTATTATGACTAATATTAAGTATGACATTAGTTTAATATCTGCGGTACCCTTGCAGGAAGGATTTAATGAATGACCTAGCAAAATTCCTCCACCACGTGAGTTGTGACCCATTCCTGGTTATCTGTTTATTTTAAGATATCATTGAATGCCAAAGAGCCAAATTTGCCCCTGTTAAACTGACTGATAAAATTCTCAGAGTCTTTGGTGCAGTTGAATTAACCTCCAGAAGTCTGAGTCACAAGTCAAGACCTGGGATAGAGGGATGGGAAACAGAAAATTTGGAAATTTAGTCTTGATCTTGTCAGTGACCAGGAGAATCAGCAGGGCAGCAGACAGACATTTATGAAAGCAAAATGCCATGTTTTTTTGCTTTCCTCATCTGCTTATTGAAAGTCCATCAGCTGAGGAAGGTAACTGGGTCTGTGATGGCTCCCTTGCCCCTGCCATTGCAAAGGGAAGCTGGTCCCTTCTCTTTTTTCTTTAGTGGTACTTTATAGGAGTCTACTCTTAATTTAAAGAAAAGTGAGAGGAAATTAGGTGGTAATTTAAAAGAATCTGCCTTTGGTACCCACATGTTTTATATAAAAATAGAATTTAAAATCTGAAAGAACCACTGTGCTGAATCTGTCCTCATAACATTTATAGCCTGCTATAGGACTTTGAACTTAACTGCTATGTGAACTAGAGCATCTTTTGGAATAGACACCCATACTCAAATAAAATATTGCCAGTGGTGGAAAACTGAATAAATATACTTGCTCTCCTTTCTTAAAAGTTAAATGCAATTGTGAAGTCCTTTATATATATTAATCTCTATTTTATAAAACATTAGTGTTTAGTGTAGTATGACCACACTTTTAATTAAAAAAAACAAACCCTTCTGTCTGTTTTGTAGGATGTTAATCGAAAAAATACCAATGTGGTGGAATCATGGGAGAGAAGTAAAGAGAAACAATCCTACACTCATGTAATCTCCAAAAACGCTTCCTTCACATTCACCTGGGCCTTTCAGAGAATAAATGAGGGCCAAGATGTAAGTACTTCTTTATATACAGGACTTTACAGCACAGCTTTCCTTGGACACTCACCACCAGAGCTCTTGCCCTCCACTGAAACTCACAGACTTCTTGTAAAGGGTGAGTGGCTGTCACCATATAGCGTCCCTTGGGAGGCAGCTGTGCATAAACCATCTGTGTTAAAAGACAGATGCATGCATAAGTCAATCCCTGAATCAGTGCACTGGTGCACAGAGCTGTGGTTAGTGTCCAAATGTAGTGGTGTGATGACACCAGGGTGGTTTCCTTTGCTCTCGTTCCAGAGCAGACAGTTCATCAACGACATGGCAAAGATCTACTCCATCACAGTGACCAACGCAGTGGATGGAGTTGCCTCTTCTTGCCGGGCCTGTGCGCTGGGCTCCGAGCAGTCTGGCTCATCCTGTGTTCCCTGCCCAGCGGGACACTACATTGAGAAGGAGACCAGCCAGTGCAAGGAGTGTCCAGCCAACACCTTCCTGTCCATCCACCAGGTCTACGGCAGGGAGGCCTGCATCCCATGTGGGCCTGGCAGCAAAAGCACCAAGGTACAGAAACCTGAGCATCTCAGAGCAATGGGCAGAAAGGGTAGGTTGGTGTACAAGCACTCAAAGGGCCAGTTTTAGTGCTTCCTGCAGGTGTGTGCCTTGTAAGCTTTGAAGTATAATTTTAATCAATGATCCCATTCTTCCAAATACATCCCTAGTATAATTTCTGTTTGTAAATATGCAATAAGAAGATAAAATTGACCACACTGGCTCACAAAAGTGTTTATTTCAAGAAGCTGTACTGTGGACAGTGTAAGAACAGGGCAAGTATGTATGTTACTTCCACCTAAACCTGTCCCATACTCCTGCTGTTTTAAACTCAGGGACTTCCTCAGCTGGATGATGTTGCTGTGGCTTTAGAAACCTGTAACAAGTACCTCTTATATGAAATTGCCCTTGAGCCTAGATAAACATTTATCAGGTGCAGCATCTTTTGTCAAGTCGCTCCTCAGGGACTTGAAGAACTGCTCCAATTTGTTCATATGCTGCCTGTCTTCTGATGGGCTCATATCCTGTCCCTGTTTCTCGAGCTGTTTCTTGTGTTTCCTTTGCAACATGCAAGTGTAACTGAGGCCATGTTCTGGTCTATCTACAGGGCTTTAAGCTGGGATGTGGGGATCCTAAAAGGACCCACAACAAAACAAAGCAGGAAACTGCATTTTCTTGGCTAGTGCAGCAGAGAGCAGAAAGGCCAGGCTTAGGGAACATTGAAGTCCTGATATTTGATTGCAAGGGACTGAAACAGGAATGGGAATTCTCCCAAGGGAAGGTGAATTACAGTAGGACAAAGTTCCCCTCCATCCTTAACTAGGAAGGCAGTCCTGTCTGCACCTGCTTGCTTTAACAGCCAGGTGAAGAGTTTGCTGCTGGTCTAACAGCTCTTTAATGGATGCTTCTCCTTCTCTGAAGGACCACTCTGCCTGCTTCAGTGACTGCCTGGTGTCGTACATCAAGGATAACCAGACCCAGAGTTATGATTTTAGCAACCTCAGCCAGGTGGGCTCGTTGATGAGCGGACCCAGCTTCACCTCCCGAGGGACCAAGTTCTTCCACTTCTTTAACATCAGCCTGTGTGGGAATGAGGTGAGCTCAGCTGGTGTTGAGGGTTGGGGGGATTAACCAATTTGCTTCCCATGTTGATGCTCTGTGGGATCACACTGAGACAGGATGAGGTCTCCCCTACAGCTGAGCTGTCACCAACACCATGCAAACACTTTCCTTTGGATCTTGCTCAGCAGTGCAAGGGGACTTTTGAGCAGCCAAGTGTTTTTCCGGAGCAGAGATGACAGTGTTTTAGGCATCAGTGACGCTTAGAAGAAAAATCTGTCACATCCCTACTTTTTCTTAGTTCTTGTGCCTTTAGTCACTTGGGTCACAACCCTGACCTTTTTGTGCTGCCATGAAGGAACTCAAGTGATGAGTCTGAGTCTTTCAGTTGCCAGCTTCCTTCCGTATGTTTCCCCTGTGACCTGGCTGGAGATGTTGCTTTCAGCAGAGCCCCTGATCACCCTGCTCTCTGCCAGTGGCTGAGGTGCCCATTGCTGATGTTGATTGCAGCCTTTTAAAGTGGTGGAAAAATGTGTTATTCCATGAGTGCAAACAGTCTCTGTCCCAGCGTCAAGATTTTTCTGTATGGGGCTTGGACTGTACCGGAGTATGTTGTCACATACCTAAATTGACATTTCGGAGCAGCACCAGTGATGTGTATTGTCGCATGAAAGCCAGTGCATGTAGTTTACATTAACATTCATCCCTGTAAAGTTCTGAAGTCTCTTTCCCAGGTACCAAAGGGTTTGCATGAGTTGAAGAAAATGAGTAGTCATATTTCTTTACAGTGTTTTGCATACTTTTAGGTTTAATTGTGTGTTTAAGTACCACCTGGATTAGAGCTGCTGACAACTAGATCCACGATATGAATACAGCAGGGGAGTTGGAACCAGATGATCTTTAAGGTCCCTTCTAACACATACCTTTCTGTGATTCTGTGGTTATATATGTGCACTCCCCTGTGGATCTGGTCTTCATTTTCCTGAACTACTATGATGATACTACAGTACTACCAACCATATGATTAGTTTGTGAGTGCTTGGCATTTTGTCAGGACAACTGAGTCTGGTGATTTGTCTGTCATTGCTTTGATATTCTAGCACTGGTCTTGACATGTGACATTAATGCAGCCTTGAAGGCTATGTATCTGTTTAGGGATTTCATGTGTTTGTGCTTTGAAGATATTTTATCTGGATTATATCCCAAATAAAGAGGTATTCCACAGTATATTATTTGAAGGCAAGGGAAGTGTGGTTTTCCTTTGCAAGCCATTTTATTATGCTCTGCAAGTAAGCACTGCACTGTCAAGATAAACAAGGAAGAGTCCTTCGTAGCACAGGTTTCTGATAAGACACATACCAGAGCTGACATTGTGTTTCTGGGTCTGTACAAGGCTTTAATCAGAGCTTTCACAACAGCGTGGTTTGTTGTTGCAGTTTGTCCCTCTCATGATCGGAACATCAAATTGTTTCTAAGGTGCAGTAATGAAACTCATCCAGTTTGCAATCAGGAAATTTGCAATCTCTCCTTTCACAAATTTTTTCATGATTTATCAACAGCCAACTGCTTCCTCATTTTTTCCTGATTGTCCACAGGGGAAGAAGATGGCCATTTGCACTGACAATATCACAGATGTTACTCTGAAGGACATGGTTGCAGAATCAGAAGATTTTTCCAACTTTGTGGGAGCTTTTGTCTGTCAGTCCACCATCATCCCATCGGACAGCAAGGGTTTCCGAACAGCCCTGGCTCTGCAGTCCAACAGCCTCGCTGACAGGTTCTTAGGTACATGGTTCATCTTCTGCTTATTGTTATCATGGATGTATTCTCATATATTTAGGGCTGCAGAGTAAATCCTTCTCAGCTCAGCAGTGCTGCATTACCCTGGGGGAAGAGTGAAGGGCCAGGCCAAGATTCCCACTTTGTTCCTGAGCTTTGAAGCAGATCTGGACAGATGCCATTGCTTTCTGCTGCTGTTTCAGTTCAGCTGATGGCTGGAGGAGAAGAGCAAGGACTGCCCCCATCATTTGCTTTCCATGCCCATATTACTCACTCTTCCCTGTGTTTGGTCTGGTGCATCCCATGGCAAATAGAATTTCAGCACAGAAGTCTGGAGAATGTAATTAAAAAGCACTGATTTGCTTTCGTGTTTCCTACTCACCTCATGCTGGGCAAGACCAATCACTGTAGCAGACACATTAGTCCGAGTATTTCTGCCCATGACAAATCCCCACTCGGGCAATTTCAGAAGAAGAAGCTGGTGCTGGGACATAATTAGGCAAGGAAAGAGGAGGTTTGGGGCAGCATGGGGCTGTGCACATCATTAAGGCTTGCATTTCTCCAGCTCAGAAGTTCCCAGAGTCTGAGGCCAGATTAGACAATGAAGTCATTTAGTCTGCTCACCTATCCATTACAGGCACTGGGTGTTTGTACTGTCTCTCTGGCACTGAGCCCAGAAACTCATGTTTGACAAAAGCATGTTTTTGGAAGAACATTCAACCTGGACTTTTAAGACTACCAGAAATAAAAGCTGTGCCACAGTCATTGGTATTTTTTCACTGGCCCAATCCCCTCTTTGTATTTTGTTTTAAAGCAGACCTGTTTCCTGTTTGAATTTGCCTGGCTTCAGTTTTCAGCTCTTGCTTCTTGTTATTCTTTCTCCATTTCACACCCACATTTTCCTCCGTGGAGAAATATTTTGTGTAGTGGAATCATCACAACCTCCCCAATCTGCTCTTCCAATAAACTAAGTGGATCAAGTTTTTCTAAGTCTCTTGCTATCATGTATTTCACTCAAGCATCTAAATAATTTTTGAGGCTCTTTCTACAGCCTCTGTAACTTGTTATTATATTTTCTTAAAGCATGGACATCAGAATGAAATAGTATTCCAGTATTTAATTCACTATAGTGGCAATAAAAATCCCTTTGTATTTGTATTTACATGCAAGGATGGAATCTCTGAGTCTTTCTTTCTCCAGACTCACGGGATTTCACAATGGCTTATTGGACCTGATGTCCACTCTAGATCTTTTTCAGAGTTACAGTTTACACGGAAAAAATCTTTCTTCCTTAGGACTGGCCTTCATTGCTAGCTGCACTTGTCTGCACTAAAATATGTTTAGTTTGACTGGGACAAGCTTACCAAGTGAACCAAGTTGCTCTGTATTTTATTCCCGTTCCTCTTAATTTTTGTCTCATCTACACATTGTACCAACAGTGATTACATAGTTACTTGCAGATCCCTGTGATAATCTTACATTTTGGGACTCCACTATCAATGCCTAGAGAAGCCTGGAGACATACCACATGAGATGACAATTTCCCATGGACAGATAACTTTATAATTAGTTAGTTAAATAGTTTTTAACCCAGAGTGTGCGCTTAATTGATATTACATCGCTAACTTTTTAATTAGAATCTCCTATGGTAATTACTGAAATACTTGATAAATTGACATTATTTTATTTAGAAATCAAATTCATCATCACTCAAAGAATGAAATTAGATTTTTTTTCAACAAGAGCTGTTCTCCATAAATTCATGTTGAGTGTTACTCCTTATGTATATATCCATTAACTGAAACCCATCTTCCACTTACCATTCCGGTTATTTTGCCTCATCATTTTAGACACATTGTAATTTGGCTCACCATATCCCCTCTCCATCAGTCTTTTGACATTTCACTATCATTAAAAGCACTATTAAAGGTCACTCTTAGGTATGGGTTTGCTAATTCATAAGCATGCATGCCAAGCAGATGCCAATATCCTCTCCTGCCACTGAAGCAACAGGGTGTTCAGTCATTGTCTTGGAAAGCAAGAAGATAGTCCTGATTTTTTCCCAATACAGAGAAAAGACATCAAGCTCTTCTGCTGCCTTTTCTTTATCACAATTGTTACATTTTTAAATGGTTGAAGGTTGCCTTTGCTATCCATAAGATGTACTTTTATTTCTAGTCTTTCTAAAAAAGCTCCAAACTTGTAATTTTTCTAGTGCTGTCAAACACAGGCTTTTCCCTGAAGTTTTTAGCATCCATTATCATTTTTCTGTAACTCATAACTTTTGATTTTATTTGATTCTCTATTCCCCCTCTATTGAGCTTGTGCCAATGTTTTTCTTTGAATTGCTCTTTTATCGCTCTTCTGATCCAAGGTGGACTCTTAGTCAAAGCTATTGTCATTCTTGAGAGAGCCATTGTGGCTTTTTAGCAATATAATTAATATCCTCTGAAGAATGACATATTTTTCTTCACACTTGATTTTGCTTCTGGTATTCTTATTTTTGAGAAACTGCACTTTCAGGCGCCATCTCTACAGTACTGCATATTGGATGGGAATATTCTCTCATTGCCTCTGTTGAATATAATAAGATCCCTAGGAGCTATCATCTTCCAGTCTAGTGAGTAATTAATCTCTGTCCGTTGTGTTGCAATCCAAATTTAAGTTACCCCATGTTCAATGCAATGTCTTTGATCAGAGGAAATGATCATCCTTGGTGACGTCAGCATATGTCAAGCCAAAGTCAAGTCAGAGTCCTAAGAATTCAGCTAGGCTGTCTGAACTGCTCCAAGAACAAGTAGAAAACTTCTTTTCTTCAGTCTTTCCCATCTTCCCACCAGTTGCTGGCTGCTACCACTTGTTCTACCAATTTTTCACTTCACTAGAAGGTTGCTGCTTGTCCCATTTGTGCAGCTCCCCCTTCTGAATTGTTGCAGTGCAGCACCAATATTTTCTCTCTTCTTTGATTCATGGGATTCAAAGGATCTCTAAGAACTTTGATTACTTAAATTTTCCTCTTTTTCAGCTCTTCTCCAAAATCCATGCAGACCTGTGTAACCTGTGCTGTTCCACGCACCAGCCTGTCATTTGTTCCAAAATGTACTATCAGGGCTTGCCTACGACTCCACAATCATTCTGAATCTTGTCATTGCATCTTTCGGATTTTCTCCTGCAGTATTACAGCTTGCTCAGGGTGTTAGTTACATGGTTATGATGTTAGGGTTATACATTCAAGGCATGTGCTTTAGGAAGCTGATTGGATCAGATGTCCCCAGAAGTCCTTTCCCAACTTACATTATTTTATGATTCTGTGATATTCTGTGGTTGCTTTAAATTCATACAAATGAGTAAAACTTATTTACACTGGTGTTGTTTTAATTTTTGTTTTGTTATGTCTATATGAAGAAATCAGACTGTATGAGGAACATACAAATCTGCAAAGTTTGTTTAGAATAGAAGAAAGTGTATAATGTATAGTAATGTCATTAAATGTTATTCAGACCCATGCCTTTCAGACTGAGAAAATGTTGTATGTGGACCCCTCAGAAATACATTCATAGCTTATTCCTTTTTTTCCTTTTCTTCTCAAATTTTAGGAGCTACTGTTGAAACAACGCTGGAAAATATCAGCGTCAAGACAGATATCTTTCCTCCCTCTCCAAGCAAAATACCTGATGTGCATTTCTTTTACAAGTAGGTAAAAAATACCGTTTATTGGTACATCAGATTTCTTCATTTGTTTAAACAAAACTAAAACTGTGAGGGGACATCTTTAATCCGCCTTTAATATTTGTCACTTTAATCAGGATCTGTCTGATATTGATTAGCATGTTGAAGCACATCTAATGAAATCAACAAACACTGTTTACTTAACTATAAATTACATTTGATCTGTAGAGAGTGATACCAGAGCTTAGATTCCTCCAGATGCCACTTCCAGTGTCATGTTCTTTTCCATAACTTTTCATATATGACTTTGATACGTCTACTTCCTGTTGCATATTTTCTTTCACATTCATTTTTATTTACTCTGATGTTACAAAAAAAATCTAACTGATGTTAAAAATTACTGTTCCAACCTGCACAGTTACTAGTTTGCTTTTCCTATTCTTCACTTTCCTCCATAAAAGGAGTACCTCAGCTTGGGTAAGAATTAGCCCAAAGATCACCTCAATTAAGATGTCTACACGCTGCTGTCTTCATGTGAACTGGGTTTCCAAGCTTGGACTTGGAATCCTGTGGGGCTGTTCAGCTTGTCTTAAGGCACATACCTATATTTGTTCTACTGGGTGGCCCTCTAGATTGTGTTAGCTTTAATGATAGATCTTAATTGGCTATAGCACTGTGGATATCAACACTTTATGCATATATGAATGCTTAAATTATGTGTCTGGTTCTGCAAACTGAACCCCACACTGGTGACCCTACTTTGAGTATATTGGGAACTTGGCTTACAATGTCTGTCATGCTGGAAGAAGGTCCATTTTTTTGAATCCCCTTTGCCTTGTGATATTTCAGGACAGTGTGGTTCTCAAATTAGCAGATGAGGAGAGAGCCATCATAGACTCTCTGGCAGAGTAACACACCAGCCACAGCACCTGTGATTCTCTTTTTCAATCATTCTGTTCTGCTTTGTGGGAAGGTTTATTCCTTGACTCAGCAGAATTCAAACTGTCTAGAAAAACAGAGCAGTTCCCTGAGTGGTATCTCAGAGCACATTGAAACTCAAATGAAGTGGTGAAACCTACCCTGCCTCTGTTGCTCCTTTCTTTAATTCCAGCTGACAAAGGCAAAAACGCTGTGGGAGAAGGTATTTCTTTAGTATCGCAGTTGCATGAATAGACAGAGACTTATGAAAGAGCAACATGTATTTACTGTAGTGGAAATGTATTACGTTTCTCTTCTTGTTTGACACTAGGTCTTCAACAGTGACAACCTCCTGTGAAAATGGACGTGCAACTGTTGTGACAATGAGATGCAACCCCAACAAGCCAGACCAAGGAGAGCTTTCTGTGCCCAGGTATTTAATATTTTTATCCTAGTAGGCCTAAAAAGCCTTTTCTCCTCAGGAAATATTTACAAAACTCATTAGTAATTTTATACTTAACAGAAATGAGGAGTGCTGTCTCCCTCATCAGCCACCCAGGAGGTCTCTCTTGTTTCTCATAGGTGTAGGGCATGTGTGTCCATCACCTCCAAGCAGACCAACTGCTCTGTACTTAGGCTGTGTGGTGAGAGAGGTTAGAGCTTGGGCAAGTTGTTCCAAGCTTAAAGCAAAAAGAAAATGTGATGTATTGTTGCCTCCACTTCTCCTTTATTTCAGTTCCTTATTTTTATCTTTGGCCTCCTGATTAGAACTGCCTAGGTGGGGCTTTGAGAGGTAGTTCTTCTTCTGTGATCTACAGCAGTGGTTCTGGACAAAGTGATTTTTCTGAAAAAGAGCAACCAGTCTTGGAGCTATGAAATCTGCTGTTGCAATGCTTATGTGAGCCCTGAGTCTCTCTAGTTCAAGTCCTATATGCATTTATTTATATGTCTCATCACTCCAGTTTGTATCCTGGACCCCTCATACCAGTTGTGTTTAATTTGCCTGACTTTTTATTCCCTTCACTCTGATTCAGGTGACTCCAAAAAGCTTCTTTATTCCAAAGTCCTATTTAATGCCTGCACCTGAAAAGTTGCAGAGAAAAAACAGTAAAAGAATTATTCTATTACTATTTAGCACACCCTGTGATTCTTCAGAAGTTCCCCTCACCTCTGATAATCCTCCTTTTTAGCTGTTAAGGCCCATCTTAGTCTGTCTGGACGTTACTGTAAATGTGCTGAAAGCCCTCTCACTCATCCTCCTTCCCAAAAGTTAAGTCCTCTTCCCTAAAGCAGCATGAGAAGTGTGGGATCCTCTTTGATCTCTGTCCCTCTTACGACGGGAGAAACGTGCTCACCTGAATGAAAGCAAAGAGGCATCTGCTTCATAGGTGATGGATGAGTGATTGATGTTAGAACACTTTTGGAGAGGCTTACCCCAGTTTCTTAGGGATCTGACACACTACAAATCATGCTGGGCAACAAGCTGCTATCTGTCAGCTGCTGTGTGAAAATCCTCCAGGTGTCCTTCCAGTGTTACAGGTTAAATATGATGAGAGCTGTGGTAACTCACTGGTAGTGAGGGAGGAGTAACCTACTTTGCTTTTAAAAGTGTGAGCATGGGCAGAAGTGGAACACAGCTGCCACGACGTACCTTATCTCCCTTCTTGCTGACTTCTCCCTTCCTAGCCCCCTTTGATTAGCTCAGCAGTCAGATAGTTATTTTCAAACAGGGAGGTATCTGATACATGTCAAATAATACTGCATGGAACTCCTTGATCCTCCAGACACAGTGTTTAGTATCACATGAAGTTACAGTATAAGATGAAAGAGGTTGAGGAGGTCTGTCAGGGCTCTTGCCATCTACATTGAAAAATTGTTTCATAATCCAGAGAGGACAGTTGTCAATCACTCAGATCAGGGTAAGCCAGAATGGGCTTTTAGGGCTGTGGATTTTTCAGTTCTTCAGATCAGAATAACAGATTTCCAGATCATACAAGAAAAAAAAATCCAACTTTAAATCCATTTTTATGTATGGATATATTTCACATTTACATGATCTAGCTTCTTGCATGGACTTTTGGTCACCGCTGCTGTTAGACCTGATGTAATTGTCAGCAACAAAAGCTGCCTGAATGTCCTGCCATTGCCAGTGCAACTTTCTTCTGTAGCCTGAATACAAAATAGGGTCATTAGTCTTTCTTAGACTAAGAGAAGCTGTTATCTCTTCATTAACTGGTGAACATGCTTCTAGTAATTAACCATGACAGGACAAGTCCGTTCCATATGGATGAAATCACCCAGACATCTTTAGAACAACAGCAGGAACCAGATAGCAGCATTTGTGTGGAACAGTCACCCAGTGCAGGAGAACAGTGATGGAGGTGCGTGTTGGGCTACCCCATGCTGGTGAAATGCTGGAATAGTTCTGCTGGTCTCCAAGGATTGCTTCTTTCTCTTCTCATCATCGTAGGTGTGTGAGTAGCACTCACTGCCAGGAGCTGAACTGTTCTTTTAGACCATTGACAGCCCAACATATATTTTCACTTGAGAAAGCATTTTACAAACTGGAAAAATTTTTTCCCTCAGATTTTTCCATCTGCTGACTTGATGGATTTTTACCCATTTGTTGTATTTACCGTTACTAGTCTTCAGCAGCAGAATGTGGAGTGAGGATGCAAGCCCCAGAGTGTTTCATAAGTGATAACTAAGCTTTGCTCTCCTCCTAGCTCATGCCCTGCGGGCACCTGTGATGGATGCACTTTCTACTTTGTATGGGAAAGTGCAGAAGCTTGCCCTCTCTGCACAGAGCAAGACTACCACGAGATTGAGGGAGCCTGCAAAAAAGGATTTCAGGTACAGGACCCATGTCTCCAAGTCAGATGGGTTCATTTGGGTATAACTTGGATCAGTTGAAATTCAGTGTGCAAATTGATATGTGAGTGCAGGTAGAGTTGGGAAATCTCAGCTCAGCTCTGAACAAGACTTATTGGTGAGCTGCTGTGTTGAGACTCGGGGATATTTGTGCCAATGGCAGCGTGGTGCTGCTGCCTTCTTTAGTCAAATATTAGGAAGTCCTTTCACAGGTTCAGAACTGTCCTGTTGATCAACAGCTCCAATGCAGGTGTAACACATTCACAATTGCTGTCCAACCTGTACTGTGCCAGGTGAAGGGCAATACAGAAGAGGAAATCCTTTTGCCATCTCTGAACCTGCAGGCACATCGAGGGGACAACTGAGTAGACAACATGACTCCACCTAGAGTCTGAAAACCTGAAGTACATGTTTTGGTTTGCTTTTGTTGAAAAGACGTATAGTCTTTCTACCTCAAAACAGCTTATTTTCTTCAACCCTAGGTAGTTCTCTCTTTTCCTACAAGCAGCTCACTTTTTGGTGTTTTCTGTTTACTGTTTGAAAGGAAACCTTGTATGTATGGAATGAGCCAAAGCATTGCATTAAAGGGGTTCCCTTGCCAGAAAAAAGGACCAGCACTTGTGAAACAGTGGATTTTTGGCTAAAAGTTGGAGCTGGTGTTGGTGCTTTCACAGCTGTTCTGCTCATAGCCTTGACCTGCTATTTTTGGAAGAAGAACCAGAAGTAAGTACTGCAAATTGTGTTCCATATAAAAGTAAGCTCAAAGCTTGATGTAGTGAACAGAAAGACATTTCATGGATCTGACCTTATGACAATGTTGATGAGAAGTACCATGTTGAGTCAGTCTGTTAATTCACCAAGGTGAGGTTTCTTCTGCTAACAGCACCTATGAAAAATGCTGGTGAGGAAAGCACAGAAAATCCACAGTAATTTGTTATGGCATAATTTTCTAACAGGAACTGGTTTTTTTAACCCCTGAGAGTTTCATGTTGACCTTAGGTCCTGAAGCAACATGGCTTTCTCAAGGTCTGAAGACCAAAAGGATATCTCTTCAGTCTTATTAGTCCCTTTCAGCTGGGTTAAAATAAGGTTCTTGACCATATATTGCATAGGTCTGTTTTGGCAGGACATGTCTGGTACACACCCAGATCCCTGCTTCTCAGACTGAACACACTGACTGTTCCCCATCCTGTCCTCTGCTTCCCAAATCTCATGCCATAAACCTTCAAAACGTGATTCCACCTCCTTGGGATTTCATCACCCCGTGACACATCCAACTTCACCAAATCCAGACTGGTATCATGGTCCCCACCTCTTGCTGCCTCCTACCACATGCTGTTCCACATCTCTCCTCTCCCCCATAGCCTCCTTGGACAGGATGTTGTGCAGATTCCGACACAGGCTGAAGTCACACCTGATGTTGCCCCAACCAGCACACAGGTCTCACTTCTTCAGGCAGGCAGTCCTCTCAAGCTGTTTGTGGTCTTTTGGGAAAACATGGCTCTATTGTAACGATAGAGGACTAATCTGGAGAGCTGGAGCTCGAAGTATTATTAATGCTATTTTGGTTACATGTTTTTTAATGATTGAAAAGTATCTAATTTCCAGTAAATACCTCCAAAGTAACTATGTGGAAGGACTACAGATAATCTAAATTACAAAATCCTTGAATATGGGACATTTGTAAAAAAGATCTATGCCTGTCTGGCTTTTTATCTTCAGGCTGGAGTATAAATATTCCAAATTAGTGATGACAGCGAACTCAAAAGAATGTGAGCTGCCAGCTGCTGACAGCTGTGCTATAATGGAAGGAGAAGATAATGAAGAAGAAATAGTATATTCAAATAAGCAGTCACTGCTGGGGAAGCTCAAGTCCTTGGCAACAAAGGTGAGCAGTAATTAGTACTATTAATACCAAAAAAAATTGTTACCTTTATTTATTACCGGATGTGATTTGCACAGTGCTTTTTGTCTCCCACGCACACATCATCACCCAGTCCATAGCTGATCTGCTGAAATTCACAGTATGGATAATGATAACAAATACTTCAGGGTATTGAGTAAATGCTCTCTGTTCTGCAGAGAGATTTCAGGAGCATTCTTTATTGTATCGGTGACACCTGAAAAAAAGCAATTAATGGCAGGAGGAACCTCTCATCCCAGATTCCTACCAGACACCTCCATTGCTGAGGCAAACACAGCTGTTATAGATACAGAAAATTAACATTGGGAAAACAGCCACCAGCCAGCTGCTTGCAGCTTACCTGGGCTGGCTTCATGGCTGACTTGAGAACCATAATTTTGAGTACTGTAAGATTCAGTTGAAGAGGAGGCATCAGCTACAGCCTTCTACCCAATACAGCAACCTCCTCTGTTTCAGTGGGAAGCAACAGCGAAAATATTTTTTCTGCAGCATATGTGATGTGGGTTGTTGCATGTCTGAATTCATAGCATAAAGGTCTTTGGTGTCCTTTGAACATTTCTGAGAGGAGCAACAGAGGATCATCACCATAGATCCTGCAAGCACTTTGGTCTTTATTCCAAATGCCTTGAAGTCTGTGGGAAGGGTAGTGTTGTCTTTAAGGGGGTCCATCTATTATGGTCAGGTTAAAGGGGGATGACATTTTCCCTTTCAAATGGTTTTGCTGAATTGGGTTGTTTCAAAATAGGAAGGTTTCTTAAAAGCTCATAATAAAAATTTATTTTAAAAAGTCATTCTCGTTTCTTGTTCAAATAGTATGTCAGACTGTTGAATTTTGAGATTTTTTTCTTGTATTCCTTTTTTTCCTTTCTGTGATTGAGTGCAGTGTAATTAAAACCTGTGTGCCTCCTTTCTTTTCCCTTATTTTTATCTTCTCTTTGTTCTCTTACTTTATTTATTAGACTGCTGTCCTCTTTCCACACTACCTGCTCCCCAGATCTCCCTCCTAGGAGAAGTTATCATTACACAGCTAATATGCGGAACTTCCCCTTGACCCCAGCCTGACTATTTGTCTTGCAAAATCAATATTGCTCCTCGTGGAAAGGGGCAGAAATTCAATATTAATTCTTAATTAGATATTGAGAATATTGAAAATGTAAATAAAATCAAATCACATCAAATTTTGTGGTGGTGTTGCAAAAATGGAAGTTGATTCCATTTTGAACCCTACAGGGACTGACTTTGAAATACTGATGATGGGTTTTTGTCCCTGAAATGGCTTGGCTGGCTGTGCCTGAGCATAATGGCCAGTGCTGCTGGGGAGGGTCATGTTTTGCTGTATGCTTGAGAAGTGTAAAAGCTTTGCTGCCTCCATTTGCAGCACCAACCACTGTCTCCTTCTTGATTAGAAGTATAGAGACAAGAGTGGGGGAGAAGTGGGTTTTTTTCTTTCTTTAAAGTAAGCTTCAGTACTTTACTATTCAGACCACTTGAATGCCTATTTGGACTCAAAAAGAGTTTTTTAAAGTTCCTATATCCATTTTAGCAAGCTTCCTGAGTATTCTTTTTTTTTTAAACAAGCCTGTCAGATATTTCTAAGCTAATTCCTTTTTTTCCTGCTAGATAATCATAGCTGGCAAACTCAGCTTCCAGTACCTCATTAGCTTACTGAAATCTCTGTCCTGTATCCCTGCAGATAACCAGAATTTAATATATATTTCTCCAAAACAAATGTTAATAGGCATCAGTTTCCATTTATGCAAAAAAATGAGGACATTTATCTTCTGCTGCATGTGCATGCAAATATAGAAAAAATATATGGAGGAAAACAGGGGAGAAAAAGAGGAGAAATGTAAACTGAGAGATAAAGAAAAATCTGAAGTATCCTAACTATATGTTCAAGCTTCAGGCAATGGCATTTCTATGAAGCAAAACATCTCATGAAGCTGTTAGTGGTTTTGAGTACCCAAGGAATTCAGGGCTAGGCTTGTAATATATAAAGAAGTGACTGTTATTTGTAATGAGAACATAGAAGTTAAAGAATTATGAAACTGCTTCAGATTGGAGGCTGTGATAGTTCCATCTGTTGTCTCCAGCATAACAATACTAGGTTCTTCGGAACAATATGTACTCTGCAGTGGGCTAGTGTAGGATAATTTTCTCCCCTGCTCTTTCCAACGTCTGCACTAGACTGTCCTGATCTGAGTGAGATGGCCTTAAAGATCAGATCATGAGGTTAGTTTTACATAGTTTCCAAACTGTTTGTGTACGTCAACAAGGATAAAAGGTAGGTAAATGAAGCAAGAACCAGCATTTTCTGGTGAGTAGTTTTATTAGGTCTCCTTCATTCATTGCTTCTGCATGGACCATAGGGTTGTTCACACTTGCAGTAACACAGATGTCCACACTTCTCATCCGGATGCCTGCTGGCCAGATGGGTGAGCTGTCACCCAGCAAACGAAACCAGAAAGAAAACTCAACCCTCCAACCCTGATTTTTAAGGTGGTAGAGGATTTGTAGATGGGTTTTGTCCTGTGGGTCTTACAGAGGAGAGATTGGGATGGGAATCCAGGAGTGAGGCAGTGGTAGTCACATTCACAGAATGTGCTCCAAACATTTTATTTATTGTAGGAAACACATTAATAAGTAATAATAACCATAGATATGATTACCTTGCAATTCCCCAGCTCTGACTACCTATCCTATACTATGAGTATGAAATGCAAACTTTCCCTGTACCTTCTAAAGTAACTGCCATGTACAATACATATGGAATAATTTTGTTGATTTTGCAAACTTTTACAGGATCAGTAGTGTTATTAAATAATAAAGGGTCAAATTGTGCACTTAATGACTGGTAGAAGTAAAGTGCAGTCTTAGGCAAAGGCTGCTCTGGAGATATTAAGAGAAGAAGTAACTGTTGGGAGTGAATTTGAGGAATCCCAGTTGATGGGAACCTGTCTTTTCCATTGCAGGAAAAGGAAGATAATTTTGAATCTGTTCAGCTGAAATCTTCAAGATCCCAGAATATATGAAGAATTAATGCTGCCTTCAGAGAAACAAACCTAATTTCTATTTTTACAGGACCATATTTTAAACATCTTCTGGCACACATTGTAGTGGTGATCTTGGTGAGAAATGCTTGGCCATTTAGGAGGAAATAAAGACAGGAAGCAAAACAGAAAATTGGATTGCCTTACCGTGTGATTGAGTACCTTGCCAAAAAAGAAAGCAGATGCTTGGATTCCATACTGGGAATGAAATTCAACTCAGGAAGAGATAAACGTACTACAAATAACATGATTTTTTTACATTCGCCTGGGCATTGCTCAGGCATACCATATGATTTATAGGTACCTTTCATTTCCTGTCACTCCTTCTACACAAATTCATAAGAAATGATTTTCAGTGAGTCCTGAAACCTCCTGCAAAGGTTGTATATTGTTCTTTAGTAGCATAACTATGAGTCTCTCTTGAAATCAAAGTTGTGAATGGTACTCAGAGTAAGCCTCAGGTGAATTTTGAATTTAATGCTTTGAAGGGCTGGATGGTCTGTGCTGGCCTCTAACGCAAGAGGCATGGTGTTGCACCTGCAAGTTGAACCCATTCTGATACCTAAAGCCATGGCCATCAGGGTTGGGGTAAAACCTGGTGCTACTAAATTTAAATATGTTAACTGCTGTTATATGAATTGTAGGTCTGGGCCCGTGAGTGTATAGGCGGTAACAGGCTCAAACTCTATAAAGAGAAGGAAAGTGATACCTACAGTGCAGGTTGCGCTCGTCCCTCTCTGCGGCAGCTTGTCCTTTCAAGAGAGGTCATTGGCAGGTTCCGTTCCCTCCCCTGGGCTGCCAATATGTCACCTTTCCCTGGATTGCAAACCACCAAAGCCTGAACCCTGGAGGTAAAGCAAGAATCTCTACTTCTGCAAATCAGGGATCAGCTTTGTCAGTTGGGAGGCTTATTAGAAATACTCAGACACCGTTATTCCTGGACCCGCACAATGAACAAGGACGGATGCCCAGTGGAGCTGAGCATGGGTTACGTACTTGTGCAGCTCAGCATCTAAAAACTTTCTGCTGTCAATGCAAGTACCGGCTTTGAAGGAAGGGCACAAAATGGTGCCTAAAAAACTGGAGGCTAGGTGGACTTTTTCATAAAATCAGCCATGTTGTAAGCATGTGATCTTCGTAATATCCACTGTAATAATTTCCTGAAATTCCCATTGAGGTCGAACACAAAGGAATCAGAAACTTAGGCAAAAAATATTTGAGTAAAATTATGCAAAACTTGTATAGAGCCAGGAGAAAATGAGGAAAGAATCTTGTATTGACTTCTGGTCAGACTCATATTTTCATTATAGCGAAATTATGTGAATTGTGGAATGCATCAAAGCTAGAAAAGGTATATGGGCAGGAAAGGTCTTTTTACTCTAACAAATATAGATTTTTGATTTTATATGACTGAACTAGATCTATCAATAAAAGAAAGCCCACTTTTAAGTAAAATTTAAATTAAACGGAATTTTCTGCACTCTAAATATTTTATTATCCTATAGGTGTGGACAAAAATTTTATGAAGTTTAGTTTTTTTTTTTTTCTTTAGGGAAAATTCAGATCTATTATTTTATATGTCCAGTCAAAGGACATAGGCTTTACTCTTTTAATGGGAGATACTTCAGGCATCTTAACTGAAGTGGTGTACATTTTTTGTTGTTCTTGAAAAGGCACTTCACTTTCCCAAGAAAGATTTTTATGGGGTATTGTTGAATGTATATTAAAGACACATTCCTTTTTGTATATTTTGTACCATTGCACACTTATTATTGTACATTGTATTTGTTGTCATGATGTCATTTATATATGGTTGTCAGAGATGATATGCTTATGGAGTAAATGGTTATGGCTTTGGGACTTCACTTCTTGGATCTTTTATGAAGAGGGTTTTTATGTTGTTGATTTTTATTCAACTAGTGTGCTGTAGCATCAAAGTTATATATCTGATGGGCATTGATAAAATAAAGTGAAAATATATTTGAAATTTTGGACTTGAGATGTTTGGTGGAACTGCAGCCTTTCCTGAACATTGCAGGTCTGCAGTGGTGGCTAGAGCTTTTCACTACCGTCAAACTGCATCTGTCTACATCTCCTTTAATTTTTTTCCCTTCTCTCTCTCCATATGTTTTCCAAGCCATAATTGTAGTTCATTCTCCATTCTTCTTTCGTCACTGGACCCATATCTCTGTAATGTCAAAATGCCTTAATTTTTATGAACTATATTTTATTTTACTTAATACCACAGAGGGTTTGTTTAGTTCCCTTTCCTTTCCCTTTTATTTTCCAACTAAAGCAGTGGCACTTTTTTTTTGTCAGCTCTAAAAGACTTTGCCATATGACGCTTCTCAGCTCTGCTTCCAAATGGTTTGTCATTATATTGTCCAAAATTCTTTGAGGCAATCTAATAGCATATCTGGTACAGTGCTAATATAGTGGGGTACAAACTAATACCATAGACTTTATTTAACTTAAAATAAGAAAATTAAATTTTCCAACAATTGAGTAAGTTAAAACTGTCATATTTTAGCTGACTTCTGCTATTAGTTTTTTTCCTGTTGAATATGTAGTAGAAAGGGGAAGTTTCAATTTTCCCGTTAAGAGGCAACTTTTGGAAACCTTTAAAACTTCATTAAGAAATCAGCTGTCTGTGACCTCTTCTAGTATTCTGCCAAAATATACTTACAGCAACCTCCCCCTTTTCTCCCACATGGAATCACATCAGAAACTGTTATTTGATGCCATAAAACAATGTGAATCAGTCTGTTATGTGTTCAGTTGATTAAACGGTATGCATTTTATTGCTGCATTTGCATGCTTTTCTTTGAAATCTGGAGTTAAGCAACTGAATCTCTTTGAGGATTAAGCACATTTTAGTGGTGTCTCTGTATAAATTGTTGGCAAATTAGCAGAATGTTGTTGTCTCAGCTTTGACAGTGCTTGCTCGGGGGGAAATATGCAAAGAATGTATTCTGTCTTGGGTCTGATTATGTTGGTTGATGTTTGTAATATATAATACAATTGATTAAGAGTCTAGGTTTTGGGAAAATTAAGTATCTTAGAGCCATAATGGGAACTTACTGAGTAGCTTCAAGGAGCTGTCATCTTTGTTCAGAGAAAGGATTTGACTACTTGCTTTTGAAAAAGAGGTTCTGGGACTCTTCGTTAATAAAGGGGAAAGCTTGCAGGTTTTGGTTTGTCTGTCCTGCCAGAGCCATCAAATGGAGATGATTAATTATAATCAGACAAGATGACAGCAGATGTTGCCATTTAGGAGCCAGTGGTTGTTGACTCATCTCTGTCAGTGCGCAGCGCAAATGCTTCAATGTAAGATTAGAAGCAGCTACAGCTGGTGCTGACATGCCAGTGGGGATGACATTTCTTCCTAAGCAAGGAATGCTGCTGGTTGGTCCTTGTTGTAGAATCGCAGAATCGTAGAATCATAGAATCATAGAATCATCATAGAATAGCTGGGGTTGTAAGGGACCTTTAAAGGTCATCTAGTCCAACCCCCCTGCAGTGAGCAGGGACATCTTCAACTCGATCAGGTTGCTCAGAGCTGCGTCCAACCTGACCTTGAAAGTTTCCAGGGATGGGACATCTACCACCCCTCCGGGCAACCTGTTCCAGTGTTTCACCACTCTCATTGTAAAAAATTTCTTCCTTAATCTAGTCTGAATCTACCCCCTTTTCATTTAAAACCATTACCCCTTATCATGACATGCCCTTGTAAAAAGTCTATCCCCATCTTCCTTATAAGCCCCCTTTAAGTATTGAAAGGCTGCAGTAAGGTCTCCTTGGAGTCCTCTCTTTCCAGACTGAAGAGAGAACAACTCTCTCAGCCTTTCTCCATAGAAGGTGTTCCAGCCTCTGACCATTTTTGTGGCTCTCCTCTGGACCCACTCCAACAGGTCCATGTCCTTCCTGTGCTGAGGACTCCAGAGCTGGAGGCAGTCCTATGGGTGGGGTCTCATGAGAGCAGAGTACCTCCTTCCTTGATCTGTGGGCCATGCTTTTTGCAATGTAGCCCAGGATACAGTTGGTTTTCTGGGCTGCAAGTGCACATTGCTGGGTCATGTCCAGATTTTCATCCACTGGTATCCCCAAATCCTTCTCCCCAGGGCTGCTCTCAATCCACTCATCCCTCAGGCCTCTTGAAGCATGGAGGCCTGAAATAGCTATTCTAGGTAATTTAACAGGGAACTTAACAGGAGACGTATTGGGAAGTTCTGCTTATCTTTGGTGGTGTTCTCTCTTAGTCTTTCCCCTTGTATACTTCCTTCACTGAATCCCTTTGTTTCTATTTCTTGCTGCTTTTGAATGCTTGTGAACTGTGCTCCTTTGGCAAGCATGTGAGGAGATAAGAACAGAAGTGAAAGGAGGTCAGGCTTATCCTAAATTGTAGTGTGTGTCACAATGTATGGTGACATGCCCAGCCACCTGATTGGATGTTCCCACACTGAATACAGTGCAGAAGGAGCAAGGGAGACATGAGAAGGGAGCTGATCATCAGCTGCCACCATGTTTTGGTTATTTCTCTGGATGTACAGAGTTGGACTTCATCAGGAAGAAAACTGTAAGGTCACATGTACTGTGGGGCACTTAAAAGCCAAAGCGAGGTTATGTGGATGCGTGTTTGCTTGAATAAAAGACATGCACGAGTGACCTCTGAGAGCTTTGGTGTTATGTACTGCCTGTTCCTGTCCTTGCCTCCTTCTGTATTTAAAATGGCAACGTACTAGTAAGTCACTCTCTTTAGGGGTGACATGTTCTGTTTTCCAGCTGGTTGTAGGCAGCAGTGAAGTTGTCATCTGGCTTCCTGTTGTTGCCTCTAAAGGAGGGGTTGGTGTATGTAGGAGAGTGATACTGCTGGGGAAAGAGAAGCCCCTTCCCAACCCTGCCATCTCCTTAGAGGCAGGAGAAGCGATAACATTGTCACACCAGGTCTCCCCCCAGCCTTTGCTTCCTACCCGTCTCCTTCCTGTTGCCAAAACAGCCCAGCCTGGCCTTGGCTCTTTTCTACTTGCAGTGACAAAACTCAGCTTTGCCTATGTTGCTGAGAAGCTTTGAGGTGGCTCCTGATAAACAGCTTCTACCTTTCATCATGCAGACTGCAAGCACTGATGAGGAGGCAATGACATCGTGGACATCTGGTGATGAGTTAAGGGTTTGTTTTGGTCTCCCTTACTCTAAGT